ACTTAGTGATGGGACATGGCACTAGTAACACTATCTTTGCATAATATAGATTTAGGGAGCATATGTTTTAGACCACACTCGGTCCTGCACAGCGTAATCTGGTGTGCAGTGCAGTGCTAATACAGTTTACATAACCCAGGCTCGGTAGTTAGTATTGCTCCTAGTATTAAGGCATACATGGCAGCAATTCAGATGCAGACACCAAATAAGACCAGACGCTGGACATGTGAAGGCCAACATCAAAGCTTAACAACTACTTGAGCAGGGTACAGGATTCAAACACTGTCATTTCTCTTATTTTTCTGGCATGTTTTATGAACATTGTTTCTCCCCATGCTAATAGAAGGTAGTCCCCAAAGACACTGCCAGCACACTTGCAGAAGACAGGCATAGTGCACCACTGGTCTGATGGATGCAGGTACAAGCCTAGTTACACTTTAACTCAAGCCCTCAGAACTATTTGTTTCAAAAAGCAACTCTTTTAGTGGTGTTATACTCAAACTTTGGTCAATGTTAAAAGGTTTAATTCTAGTCCCCCTTTAAACTAAAATGGATCCTAGCAGTACTACATCATTTAAATCGAGTAACTGTTAACAAAAATTTGGCAAGAATGTTATTGATGAAAAAAGCTATGCAGCAATATATTACAATAGTAAAAAAAAAAAAATTACAAGTACAGAAATATGAGGCAATAAGCTTTAATTGTCACAGGATATCAAGTGTGAACATATGCTTATCGAGCAAAGAATATAGGGAAACCATTCCAAGAAGTACCTTTATATCAAAGGTTGACCCTGCAGAGAAATGGAAAATAACTTTCAAGCACTTCACATCGTATCACATTCTCTCTGCACCACCACCCCACAAAATGCCCATAGGGAATTCTGTGAATTGTTTCCCCAGATGCCTTGTACACCAGCTGGTTAGGATTAAACATCTTGCCTATGGCACTTTTTAGGCCTTGAGGACTGGCATTTGTGACAATGTGATGAATAGTGTACAATTGTGTACACCCCATATGTTTAATATAATCTAGGGCACCAGAAACACTGTTAAATCCATGTACAGTAGTGACGAGGGTTAGAAGAAACCTACAACAGCTATTCTTCAAGCTGGAAAGTTACAGTTCTAGAATTTCCTTTCTTCAACAATATACTCAGAAAATATTCAAGACTTGAATGTTGAAATTTTTCTATGTCTCTGATTTTCTGTTATTTTAAGATTTAGCACGGGACTGCTTGCAGAACACAAAGTGCTAGCAAGCACTTCACATCACATAAGAAAAGTGACCCGAACTTTGCAAGTACAGTGTTGGTACAATGGGTACAGTCAGACACCAACCCCACTGTGAATGGCAACCATGCAAGTAGTGCAAAGCACCTCCTCTGAAGGAAAAACTAAAATCCTAACCCAACACTGTTTTGTTTTCACTTGCACTAAAACACACTATAAGATAGATTTTCATGGTAGAGTTCTGTCTAGATTACAAAATGTGCATGTGGCTTAAGCCAATAGTTTACTCTGAATATGGTTTTAAGTAGCCTGTTCAGATGAAAAAATTCCTGTTTGAAGCACTTGAGTTTTTTGTTCATCTTTAATATAAAGATCTTGTAAATTCTTTTATTACTGGAGAAAGTACTTTAGACTTGCTAATTAGTGGAGGGCTTAAACTATCTTGAAAGATGGCAAATTCTCCTCTGACAAGACATAAGTGTTTCAGCAAAACACATGGCAACTTCTGAATTTTGGATAAAAATATAACCCTCAGACTTCAATTACAAACTAACTTCTTAAAAAAAGAAAGATCTCCTTGAATATAATAACTGACAGCTACAGTGCTTTTAATAGTGCTTAATGGTAGCCATCAGCACATCAACTTATTTTGCTCATACGCTACTGTTTAAAGTGTCAAAGATTAAATATCTAGTTAGATTCAAGACTGGTCTTCTGAGAATGCTTCCCATTCCGAAAAACATGTTTTTCTAATAAGTGCAGAAACCTGTAGTATGAAAATGTTTTCCTACCCATTCATATTTACTACCTGGTAATAACCTGAGCATGGCAGTTTTCTGTTATCAGTTTTATTGTTTGGTGTCCTTCAAAAAAGTTGCAAGAACATTTTAAGACACATGAAAAGGAATACAGGAACCTTACCCATAATCAAATGCAGTGATTCAGCTCACTGACACTGAAAACATATCATGCCAAAATGAGTTTACTGCTTGTATGATGTTTTATGAGAATTCCAGTGTACAGTAAGAAAAAGTTTAATAAGATGCTTAAGTTGATTTATATAGTCCTAAAAGAAATAATTTTCCAGCTCTTTATGGCTGGATGTAAAAGCTCTTTCCCAATATCACTGTTGGGCACACAGAGCTAAGCACATTAACTTTTACCACTTTCTAGGACTGCTATTTAGAATTTAAATCTGTATTACTGGATCTACAGTACAAGCTTTCTTTTTAAAAAACCTATCTGAAACAGTTTCTTGCATTTCTAGAAGTGAGATGAGGGCCTCAAACTTACTTAAACTCATATGAGGTAGGTAAAACCATTTGTGATTTGATCTCTGAAACATAATTAAGTGTACAAAACCAGATGCATTAGTTTTGACACTGCAGTGGGTAGTTTACAGGAAATAGGGTACATTTTGCTTTCTGTGAGAAAACACAGTCATGGTGTACACATGCAATTATGCAACTCTTGGTGGTAATTAAGATCTGATGTCAGCTGCAAATGCAATTTACACTTAAAGATTAAGAAACTTTTGGATTAAGCTTCAGTTCAGCTGAATAATAAAGCCATAAATAAATTTCTTACTGCTTGGAAATTCCCCCTGCCCAACCTTCTTCAAGCAATCAAAAACTTAACCCTCCAGGTTTTCTCTCAGCACTATATAAACAATTCCAATTAAGTAAAGAATGTTACTCTTCATTAATCTCTTCTAGTTCCTCTTTATGGGATCTTCTTCAAGTAATCAACCAAGACACGTGAAGAGAAGTTACACTACACAAATTAGCAATCAAGTACATCAAGTAACAGTGGGTTTTAATGGCAACTCTTCCTTTGCTTGCTTTTATCTAATACAATAAACTGAGCATCTGCTGACTTTCTGCATTTCCCTAGAAATGAAGGTGAAATGTGCACTAAAACATAATGGTGTGAACATAAAAAAATAAGTAAATCAATTGTCATGGCTTGTTGTCTGGCTGGTAATTACACATAAATAGAGGTCCATATTATTGAAAAACCAATCTAAACAAACACTAGACTGGAAGTGTGATGTTTTGAAGCTAAGAAGTGGGGACTTAAAGTTGTCAAGCTAGGTAAGTATACACACTCAAGGCACATTGACAACAAACAAAAAATAACCAATACTCTTAGACAACCTCAGCTCTGTTCTCTCTACCCTCACCAACCTGAGCAGGCTTCCCTGGGACAGCAGGTTTGGCCAGTGTAATGAGTTAGATACCAAAGTATGTAGAGTAATTGGGAGTGATGACCTCTTACAATTTCCCAGTATTATTAAAAGATATGAATTTATAGTCCCATAGCACAAACAGCATGCTTCTTAACAACTCTTCGAAGTCCTCACGAACCTCATGAAGTTCAACAAGGCCAAGTGCAAGGTCCTGCCTGGGTCAGCAAAATCCCAAGCACAAATACAGGCAGGGTGGAGAATGGATTGAAAGCAGCCCTGAGGTGGAGGATTTGGGGGTGCTGGTGGATGAAAAGCTCAACATGACACAGTAACATGTGCTCACAGCCCAGAAAGCCAATGGTATCCCGGGCTGCATCAAAAGCAGCGTGGCCAGCAGGTCAAGGGAGGTGATTCTGCCTGTCTACTCTGCTCTGCTGAGACCCCACCCGGAGTGCTGCGTCCAGGTCTGGGGTCCCCACTGTAAGAAGGATGTGAACCTGCTGGAGCAAGTCCAGAGGAGGGCCATGAAGATGATCACAGGGCTGGAGCACCCTGCCTATGGAGACAGGCTGAGAGAGTTGGGATTTTCAGCCTGGAGAAGGCCCTGAGGAGAACTTATAGCACCTTCCAGTACCTAAAGGGGGCTGACAAGAGAGCTGGGGAGGGACTCTTTACAAGGGCATGTAGAGACAAGACAAGGATTTAAATGACTTAAACTGAAAGAGTAGGTTTAGATTACATATTAGGAAGAAAATCTTCAAATTCTTTACTGTGAGGGTGGCGAGGCACTGGAACAGGTTGCCCAGAGAAGTTGTGGATGCCCCATCCCCAGCAGTGTTCAAGGCCACGCTGGATGGGCTTTGTGCAACCTGCTCTAGTGGAAGGTATCCCTGCTCAGCAGGGGGACTGAAACTAGATGCTCTTGAAGGTGCCTTCCAGTCCAAATCATTCTATAATTCTGTGATCCTACGAAGGCAGATCATACATTAGCAATGCTTAATTTTGTCAAACACCACATAATTTTCTATCCATTTTTTTTTAGTATTTATGAAAAGAGCCAGAAACTAGATTGAACTGAACTGCAAGTTTAAGAAGAGTATTTCAGGTTGGGGGCAGGGTTGTCATTCTTGCACAGAGGGTATTGTCTGTTATAAATGAAGACCTCATTAGAAAGGAAGCACTGAGTGTACCATGCAGTACCAAAACAATTACTTTGTTAATATGCAGATTCAGTGTGGCCAAATTTGAGTCTTGTACTAACAATAGTGCCTGGTATCATTAGACAAAGGAATATTTGCAGTCAAGGCAGTATGTTATAAAAGGAGCACAAACATGAGGACTTACATTTGTCCACAGTTAGACTGCAAGGAGCCAAGACAATCTTTTGGAAGTGTAGGCCACCAACTGTTAAAACTAATGACACACAAATATTGAAATTTTATGTTCAGTGCTGCTGCTTCTCTCCACTCCAGATACCTCCTGAGGGGAAACTACTTACTTGCATAATTTACCAAAACCACAAACACAAAATGCAGTTCCATTTAAACAAATAAGTCTAATAAGTAAGAAACAAACTTACTACTTTTGTTCTTGAGGATTGACGTGTTGCTCTAACATTAGAAATGCTCCTTGAGGTAGCTGGAGTTGCCAATGGAAGAGTAGTAGAAAGCTGAGGAGGACTGAAGGACATTAAAGGCAATCTGGTATCTCCTAATATGGACTGCTTGGAATTGGAATTTTTATTAGTGAACCTCTCATTTTTACTGTTTCCTGAATCTGCATTACCAATCTCTGTTTTCTCCTCATTCTTGACTCTTCTCAAGCAGTCCTTTATTGTCGACTGAGTTGCAGGCTGACTCAACCAGCACAAAAAGAGTTCATCTACCTTCATCTTCATTGCAGGTTGCAAAATTTTCCCAGGTGACATTTTCTACCAGTTTCCTTGTTTTCTTGGTTCAAATTCAAAGTAAAGATTTGACAATCATCTAAACATTCCACTTGACTTCTAGTGTTTCACAGACTTCATGGTTCCTGTTAAGAAAAATATGATTATTAAATCTTACAGTTTTAACCAAGTGTTGATATTTATTCCCTCAAGATACCACCAGGAGTTGAGAGTTACATTCTAATACGTGACTTCAGCAACACTTTATAAGTGTTACCCATTAATCAGTCAGATTCAATTCCAATAATTTCTTCTAAATAATAGATAACTTCTTTTAGAAGCATGTTGTTTAAATGATGGAGACTGGACAAAAAGACACTGCACTTGGACTTTCTCAAGAGATATCTAACAAATATCCTCTAATAATGTGCTAAACCTCAATGTATTATGATGAATAAGACTTGACTTGCACACGCTAAGAACTAAATGTCTAAGTAGTCTAATGCAAAGCCTTGATGATAGAACAAGAAAGATTTAAGAAGCAAGTCTTTCAGTCAAGAGGTTTAGAACTAAGACTGAAGGTTCAATTTTCATTCAGAGGTCTGTGCTACTGACTTAAAATATTGCAATCCCCCCACATGATGCCCAGCTGAATACCCAAAGCTTGGTATCACAGAATCATTCAATATTTTAAAAACTGATGTTTGACATCCATTTTTACAGTTTTTCAAAACCAATGCAAAACTCAATGTGACTCAAGAATTGGGATAGTATGATTTCAAGTTCAGCTACTCAACTGAAACAAACAGAATGCATATTGCTTTTTAGAGAGAGATAGAGGACTGGAATGAAACGCTAACAGAACCAAGTTACTATCGAGATCTGGTACAGTTTAAACAAAAACTATGCTTCCTCATGTTTGTTTTTGTGGTTTTTTTTAAAAAGCCTTTGTCAGTATTTGATCTATATGCATAAGGCAGCAAAGATGTATGGTTGGGCTCAATGACCTTAGAGGTCTCTTCCAACCTAAATTATTCTATTCTATGATTCTATATGTCAATACTTTGCTGAAGAAGCCTTAAAATAAGCACCTCAATTTGGAAATGAATAACATCTAGCAAACGAACAATACTATTAAAAACCAATGCTCATCCTCATCCTGTGGCAGAACTGGAAGCCCTAAAACACCGCATCACTTAAACTGTCGCCACTCAGCAGTTTAGTTACTCCGTCTCTGAACCTGAAGGTCACGTCGTTTCGCTACCTTTTTGTCAGACCAACACCTTCACGGCACCCGCGGCTGTGCCCGGCCAGCCCCAAGCACCATCGACGTGTGAGGAAACGGCTCTGGGGAAGGGCCAGCCCGGCGCCGCCCCGGGAGCGGGGAACCACCGCCGCCACCGCCGCCGCCACACGCTCGGTCCCTCGGGCCGGCACCTGCCCCTAGCAGCAGCTCAGGGGGGACGTGGCTCCGCGCCGCAGGAGTGTCCCGAAAGACAGACGCTCACCTCTACCCAGCTCCGCCGCCGCAGGAGCGTCCCGAAAAACAGACACTCACCCCTACCCAGCTCCGCCGCCGCCCCTCCCGCCGCCGCCTTCAAACACGCGCCTCCTTCCGGCCCGGCCCCGGCGTCTCGCGAGAGGGCGGCCCTTCCGCCCCGCAGGACGCGGCGGCGGTCGCCATGGTGACGGGCCGGGGGGGGCGGTGGGACCGCCCCGCCTGTGTCAAGCGGCGGCACCGCCGCCCCCTGTGCCGAGCTTAGAGCTGAGACAGGGTCTCGGTGTCTCAGAGCTGCGGCAGCTCACAGGCTGCTCCCCACTGGCTGGTTTTTTGAAAGGAGCTGGCAAAGTGATGGGGAGGCAGATGCCTCGTCAGCGAGTTCGCTGACGACACAAAGCTGGGGCGAGTGGCCAATACCCCAGAGGGCTGTGCAGCCCTCCAGAGGGACCTCGAGAGGTTGGAGAGATGGGCAGAGAAGAACTGTCTGAAATTCAACAAAGGCAAATGCTGTGTCCTGCACCTGGGGATGAGTAGCCCCGGGCACCTGTACAGGCTGGGGGCTGACCTGCTGGAAAGTGGCTCTGAAGAATCACAGAATATGCTGAGTTGGAAGGAACCCACAAGGATCATCGAGTCCAACTTCTAGCCCTGCAGAGGACCATCCCCAAGAATCACACTGTGTGGGGTGCTGGTGGACAATGAGCTGTCCGTGAGCCAGCAGTGTGTCCTTGGAGTGCATTAGGAAGAGCAGGTCATGGGAGTTGTTCCCCTCTGCTCAGGCCTGGGGAGGCCGGATCAAGAGTGCTGTGTCCAGTTTTGGGCTCCTCAGAGAGACATGGAACTCCTGGAGCAGGTGCAGTGGAAGGTGACAAAGAGGATAAGTGGACTGGAGCATCTGTCTAATGAGAGGCTGAGGGAGCTGGGCCTGCTCAGCCTTGAGAAGAGATGAATGAGAGGGGACATGATTAAGGTGTGTAAGTATCTGAAGGGAGGGTGCCAAGAGGATGGAGCCGGGCTCTTCTCAGTGGTGCCAAGCAATAGGACAAGAACAAACAGCAAGAAACTGATGCACAGGAAATTCTGCCTGCATATGAGGAAGAACTACTTTACTGTGCAGGTGACTGAGCACTGGAATAGATTGCCCAGAGAAGTTGTGGAATTTCCCGCACTGGAGATACTCAAGAACTGTCTGGATGCAATCCTGTGCAATGTGCTGTGGGATGATCCTGCTTGGATCCCCCGGGAGGTTGGATCAGATGACCCACTGTGGTCCCTTCCAAACTTACCCATTCTGTGATTCTGTGAAAGTGTGTGAGCTGTTCCAGCTGTTAAATGCTGTTAAAAGGAGAACAGTAAATGCCCGTTCTACACAATTGCTGTGATTAGTGCTAGTGTTATGGGATTGCAAATGATAGGATGAAAGGAGAAGTGGAGGCAGTAACAAAAAAAAGAATAATCCCCTTATTAAGTGAACCATCTGTGCCAATCTGTTTGCAGCCTTTTTTTGCACTGGAAAATATATACTGGAAATTTGTGGCTGCCAGCCTTCGGGGATACCTCTGTGAGGCTTCCTAGGTACACTTGTCAGTGGGGTCTTAGATAGCTGAGCCTTGCCCCATATAGTTCTTTTCCTTGGTTTTTTGTACTTCAGCATGTCATCCATGTTTTTACATCAGATCCCTACTTCCACTACACTGAATTTTGCTCTTGTGGTTTTGCTCATTTGCTCATTTTTATCCATTTTACCATTCTGCCACTTCCTTTACTGTGAGAGACACTCCAGATTTCTGACAGGTTATTATCACAAATCCTGAGAATGTTACTACTGTGCAACTGAGGCTGTACCAAAGATGATACCAGTTGCATGTTACAGTGGTTTGAAGGGAAGGCTTAAAAATGCAGACAAGATTAAAATAGATTATGTAAGTGAAGGAATGAGCTTGCTTTCTCATGTCTGGAAGCTTGGACAGAGGGCACAGAGATGAAGGGCTGAGGAGAAACAAAAGATGAGATGCTGTGAGAGAAATCCAGAACAGTCCAACACAATTATGTTTTGATAGTAGCAGAATTACATTTTTGTAGAAACAGAGTCATCTGGCAAAAAGCAGTATAACTCTTGTAAGTGTACCAGAGAACTTTGACTTACTGCTGTAGACACTGAAATATATTTTCACAAGTCTTAAATGAGACGCTGCATTCCAGGAAACCTGTAGAGTGGTGGAAGTTCTTGAGAGAGTCTCCACTTTTTGAAGTAGAGCAGTACTCTGTTTCCTGCCCATTGGTTGGTGAAGCTGGAAAGTATGTTTTTGGAAAGCTCAAGTGGACAAAACAGCATAACTTTAAGCTGGAGTAAAACATTCAACATAACACAGAGGAAGCAGATGTCAAAGTAGGGATAAATCTGTAAATATTATGGAACTAGCTTTAAAGCAGAGGAAAAGAAAACCCCGTGTTATGGACAGTAGCAAGATTTTTGGCTGAGAACTGAAGGCTGAATTAAGAAGACTGATAGCAGAGCAACAGACATGGAACAAAGAGTGCTTTTAAAACATTTTGAATGCCTTTGAAGCGTTCCTTAGTGATGGTGTAGCCATCTGTTGATTGACACGTTGAAGACAGGTGGCAAGAAGTGGATCAGAGAGTGACTTGACAGAGTTGTAGAGTTGGATATCATCTGTGTAGAGATGATGCCCTTTGTTGAAACTGTCAATGAGATCTCTCAGAGGAACATGAGAAATAAGAAAAAAGAAAAGAAAAAAAAACCTATGAGAGATATACACAGTCACAGTGTTCTCTCATGCATGTTAGTGTATATTCAAAGCAATTCTAATTCTGACTTTATTAGAGTTTGTCATGATTAACATTGGTATGAGAGAGGAATCAATTCCATGCCTTCTGTTAAACAGAAGACACTTTGGGCATCCTCACCAGGTTATACCAATACTGGCAATTCACACGGATATTTTGAATGTGTCTCTGAATGAATTAGGTCTACTCAGCAGTGTATTCACTGCTAGGGATGTGTGTTTATAGAGATAGAGGAGTCCAGGCTTGGCCAAAAATGGAGAAGTACTAAAGTTGGACCTCTTTGTTCAGATCTTCCACTGAGAATTTAAACTTGAAATTCCTTTTTGACCACTATTTCCATGTTCTTGCTGGCATAGTCAGTACAGAAACTGTACCTTTCTATGTTGCTTTCAATGTAGGGAAAACAAAAATCTGCTCTAGTGTCTTACATTTTATGTGAAATGTATCTACCTGGTTTAAGGATGGGCTCCTTTAAAAATCCCCTGAATAAATATTGAATAATAAAGTACTGAGTGTGCAATATCCAACTGATACCTGAAAGGTTAGTGATGGGGTTACACTTAGCATTGTTGTAAAAGACACACACTACACTTTAGGTAAGGCACTTGTTTAACAAGTGCAAGAGAGTGGTGTATTGATATAGCTCATGCCAATTAACGACAGGAGTGCTTGGGCCTAACAACACAGTGCAGTGGAGTTAGTACACCCACACTAGTATATCCTTGTAGCACGGTACTTCCCCCTGTACAGTGTGTGGAGCTACTAATCCTCATGGAGAAGCTGAAGAGCCACATGAGCTTCTAGATCTTGTTGTCTCTGTTGCATACGGCTTGTTTCTGGCTTTATTTTACTGGTCTTGTCTCTGAAGGTGATTAGCAGTACTGCCAGTATGCACTCCTGGCTATATATCAAGGTCCCCCTTTGCCTTTATTTGTAACTGTGTGCTGTTCATAGGGAATATTTCTGTTCCTAATCAGCATTTTGCAGTGAAGGCTGGGCTTCTTCCCTGATAACCTTGGGTCTCTACAACTTGGACATATGGGTATTAAAGAGGCGTCTCCACACCCTCTGTACTAGTGGGAGTAAAACAGCATTTCTAAGGCCTGATTAATGTTATCCTGAGGTAGACATGTAACTTAGGTCAGAAGTAACATGATTTAAAAGTTCTGTTCCTCTCCACTATTTAACAGGAATCTCAATTAGTATCTGAGGTATACACAACCACATTTTAGAAGTCTAAAGTTAGATAGAATAATGTGTTTGGGGTATTATATTTACTTTCACATACCTGTGTTAGATTTAGTCTCATCTGGTCTCAAAAGCAGAGTTGTCATAACTCAACAGAGTGGGAGGTTGAAGTGGAACACAAGCCTGAGATCAAAATGCAGTTCACTGCAGGATCTTTATGAGTCCTTATTCTAGAGCTTTTCATATGCCTTTGTGCTGGTTTTCTCTGGGGTAGACTTATTTTTCTTCACAGTGGCTGGTATGTGGCTGTGTTTTGGATTTGTGCTGAACACAAGGTTGATAATATAGAGATGTTTTTGTTATTACTGAGCGGTGCTAACACAGAGCCAAGGCCTTTTCTGCCTTCCATACTGCCACTCTGGTGAGCAGACTGGGTGTGCACAGGAAAGTGGGAGCTGGGACAGCTGACCCCAACTGACCAAAGGGATATCCAATACTATATGACATCATGCTCAGTGGGGGGAAGAAGGAGGAAGGTGGGGATGTTTGGAGTGATGGCATTTGTCTTCCCAAGTCACTGTTATGGGGGTCTGCTCTCCTGGAGATGGCTGAACACCTGCCTGTCCATGAAAGCAGTGAATTAATTCCTTGTTTTGTTTTGCTTGTGTGCACAGCTTTTGCTTTTCCTGTTAAGCTGTCTTTGTCTCAGCCCGTGAGTTTTCTCACTTTTACCCTCCGATTCTCTCCCCGATCCCGCTGGTGGGGGAGTGAGCAAGTTGCCTGAGTGGGGCTTGGCTGCTGACTGGGGTTAAATCATGACAACCTGTCATGTAGGGAAGAGAACTACAGTACCTCTTTAAACTGTTGCCTTTTGGTCAGGCTTTTGCTTTTGTAATGTGTTTATAATGCTTTTGCTGACACATTTCACAACTTTCAAATTTAGGCATCTGAAATCTGGTTCTAACCTATATATAAGCACTAAAATAACTGTCCTGATTTCCCAGTGTGCTAACTTAGTAGGAAGCAAGTGTGCTGAATGTCTCTGGCAAACCAGTCACTTTTATTTAAGTTGCTGTTATTGAAAATTTTGGCCAGAAGAGCTCATTGAGGTTATGCTGCCAAGGTGATGTTCCTTCTAAACCTGCTTATGGTATGCAGTCAGAGAGACTTCACTCAGGAGAGTGTCAATGTTTCTTTCCACTAAGTGAAAGATAAAGTCTGGGATACTGTCACT